CATATTTAATCCCATTTGAATCAAGTACGAGTTTCGGCAACAACTATACAGGACGTCGTAAAACCTTGAAATATGATCAGGAAATTATAGTTAAATTAAAATGCATTATATCATTACTATTTTAGTTTCATGAGCAAAAATACCAACTGGAGGGCTTCGTAATGAATGTCTATACAACGGTTATATTCTTCGTAGGTACCCGTGAAATTGTTTTCTTCCATTTTTTCGGTTACGTTCTGAATTATATACCTGTATAGGATATGTGTGTTTCTAATTATGGTCTAATTAATTAACCATTAAGAAATGAAATAACACTAGAACTATCAAGCCAGTAAAAATTACGGATTTTTAATGGAACAAGATTAAATACATGATGTAAAAACATAAGTTGTGTTCTTCCGACCGGTTAAATGTGTCGCTGTTTGCGCCTTCCATTCATCGGCCATATTGGAAGTACGATGACCTATTGTTTAGTCCGAACACGCATATACACGCATATTAAACTCCGAGAACATAATTTTTGATATGTTTACGATTTTGAAATTCGCTCTGTTTTAATATGAAGCGTGATTGGTTAGAAATCCAAAATGGCCGACGAGCGGAAGCGTCCGTGATTAGACTAGAACTCGGATATTTAGCGAATAAAGTAATTCAAATCATTATATTTACCCACATGCTGCGAACATTCCGCAAGCGTGATGTATGATAATAATATATAACGAATCTATACTAATTATGACTACCACGGTCAAAACTGCGATGACACCTAAATGCACGAATGCAATAAAAAAGTGTTCCATCTCATCCATGAACACGTAATTGACGTGAAACAAGTGTTGACGTGGTCGAGTTTCATTTAATGGCACTAAAACATCCATAATGGGATTGAACAATGGCAGAAAGATAAACAATGTCATAGCAAGTAACAAGCATCCTGGAAGAAATATCATTCATCGATTTATATACGCAATGAATCTTTGATAGAAAAGACGAATAGCCGAGATTTAATGGATAATGTAATTACATACTCCTGTAAATATCCGCGAGCAAAGTTCCATCCTTACTGATGTCATTTAGCACCTTTCTTTCGACGTCTGTCCTCATTAGTTTTCTTCCCCGTATTATATAATTGAACAAGTATTGAAACTATTTATATAATATGTTTGATAATAGCACTTTTCTCAGTGTAGATAGTATTTCACACATGCATACTTACGCGTGATTTGTTTGAATAGACATTTAATAATTTTACAAGACTGATGACTGCTGTAAGTGCTTGCGGTGAATCCTCGAACATTCTATCGTAGTCCTTCTTACGCATGGTATCCCAAATTGTTATGTACTGCCAAATTATTTACTTCGTTCATTATCTCTCAAATTTTCATCGATTTACCCTTCTTATTCTTGATAATTTTCACTTGGTAGTAACATTAAAGAACAAAGTAATTTGCCCTCACCAATGGAGTGATACCGGTAAACCAGAACAGTACTAGCGGAATCAATCGTAGGATGCTCTCTCTGTCATCTTGAAATGGATTTACCCCAAGACGAGTTAGGTAATGACCAAGCGATTCGTAGTAAGGTAATTCGAACGCGTTGGAAATGTCCGCACGTTCCTGAAAGTCTGAGTACCGACGCTAAAACTTATGTTTCGAAGCATGGATAGTACAATACGAGTTTAGAAACTAATATAAGTAGTAATAACATCATGCAATTGATATTTATATGATAGTTCAATGCCAATACTAGAGGCAACTAATGTTAAGTTTTTTTGAAGTTTGTTTTCTATTAGCATATTTCAAAATCAAGCTACACTTATTCTATCTCTTTTTTATTAATCAAGGAATATCTTACTATCCACGTTTCCAGTTTTCGTTCCGAACATCTTTTTAACTAACGCGGATGGTATATTGCAGCAACCGATTGTAGTAGAAGTTTTTTAGAGACTGTGAATCGCCTCTATCTAAAGGTCTAAGAGATATCACTAACAGCCCTAAGATATAACAATAGTATTAAGTTAACCCTACGAATACTATAGGCNTATTAATGTAACATCGTGAAGTATATTTTATTCAAAACAGAGGGAAAGAAAATTTCTTTACCTGAACTGCTGTCGTGCTGACGATTACCATATTTAATCCCATTTGAATCAAGTACGAGTTTCGGCAACAACTATTCAGGACGTCGTAAAACCTTTAAATATGATAAGGAAACTGTAGTTAAATTAAATTGCATCATATCATTACTATTTCAGTTTCATGAGCAAAAATACCAACTGGAGGGCTTCGTAATGCACGATGACACATCGGTTATACTCTTCGAATTCGTAAGTACCCGTGAAATTTTTTTCATCTTTGATTTCTTCGGTTACATTTTGAACTATGTACCTATATAGAATACGTGTGTTTCTGATTACGGTCTAATTAATTACCCATTAACAAATGAAATAACACTAGAACTATCAGACCAGTAGAAATTACGGACTTTTAATGGAACAAGATTAAATATATGCACCGTGGGTGCCCCTGTGGCCAAATAATAGAATTTATGATCCCATTGTACCCCTACGAATTCCAATCCTATATGTCAAACCGTTCAAAAATTATTCAGATGCCCCGGAACTTTTGGTAAGCACGGTATGTAAAAAATATAAGTAGATTTCGATATAAAAAAATATAGGCAGTGCCAGATTGTACGCTTTGTACCATTTATCATAATAATTATTTAAATAATCAAACGACAAAGCGTGACGTGTATTTTATACTTTTACAATTTCGAAGTTCATTAAATAGCGAAAGATTGTGGTGCCGGTAAGAATACTGATTGTATTTATAATTTAAACAACATTTAGATTTTAATTTAAACACATGAGAAAAGCTGAACTCTGATATTTGGCGAATAAAGTAATCCAAATCATTATATTTACCCACATGCTGCGAACATTCCGCAAGCGTGATGTATGATAATAATATATAACGAATCTATACTAATTATGAACCACACGGTCACAACTGCGACAACACCTAAATGTACGAATACGGAGAAAAAGTGTTCCATCTCATCCATGAACACGTAATTGACGTGAAACAAGTGTTGACGTGGCCGAGTTTCATTTAATGGCGCTAAAATATCCATAATGGGATTGAACAATGGCAGAAGGATAAACAATGTCATAGCAAGTAACAAGCATCCTAGAAGAAATATCATTCATCAATTTATATACGCAATGAATCTTTGATAGAAAAGACGAATAGCCGAGATTTAATCGATAATTTAATTACTTACTCCTGTAAATATCCGCGAGCACAGTTCCATTCTTAGTGATGTCGTTTAGCACCCTCCTTTCGATGTCTGTCTTCATTAGTTTTCTTCCCCGTATTATATAATTGAATAAGTACTGAAACTATGTATATGATATGTTCGATAATTACACTTGTCTCAATGTAGAAAGTATTTCACACATGCATACTTACGCGTGATCTATTTGAATAGACATTTAACAATTTTACAAGACTAATGAGTGCTGTAAGTGCTTGCGGTGAATCCTCAAACATCCTATCGTAGTCCTTTTTACGTATGGTTTCCCAAATTGTTATATACTACCAAATTATTCATTTCGGTCATTATCTCTCAAATTTTCATACATTTACCCTTCTTATTCTTGAAATTTTTCAATTGGTGGTAGCATTAAAAAACAAAGTAATTTGACCTCACCATCGGAGTGATACCGGTAATCCAGAACGTTACTAGCAGAGTCAATCGTACAACGCTCTCTTTTTCATCTTGAAATGGATGTACCCCAACATGAGTTAGGTAATGTCCAAGCGTTTCGTAGTAAGATAATTCGAACGCGTTGGAAATGTCCGCACGTTCCTGAAAGTCTGAGTACCGACGCTAAAACTTATGTTTCGAAGCATGGATAGTACAATACGAGTTTAGAAACTAATATAAGTAGTAATAACATCATGCAATTGATATTTATATGATAGTTCAATGCCAATACTAGAGGCAACTAATGTTAAGTTTTTTTGAAGTTTGTTTTCTATTAGCATATTTCAAAATCAAGCTACACTTATTCTATCTCTTTTTTATTAATCAAGGAATATCTTACTATCCACGTTTCCAGTTTTCGTTCCGAACATCTTTTTAACTAACGCGGATGGTATATTGCAGCAACCGATTGTAGTAGAAGTTTTTTAGAGACTGTGAATCGCCTCTATCTAAAGGTCTAAGAGATATCACTAACAGCCCTAAGATATAACAATAGTATTAAGTTAACCCTACGAATACTATAGGCAAACCGACAATCAATATCCGCGGAATTATGAAATAACAGTAATATTAATGATGGACTGTGACATACTCCAACGTGACGTCATGCGGTAGTTACATAGTCGCTAACGAAATTGCAATTTCTCAGTGGTCGATCACAAGTTAAGGCTGAAAACTCGTAATTATATTCTGCAACATTTCTGATATGAAAATCGACTTTACAAAGTTTCTCGATGTATCCAATTACGCGTAAATAAAACTTGTCATTCATGGGAGTTCATTGTTCCTTGGGAGTGTACAGAGGATTATCATGCACTTGTCTTTTACGTCTATAAACGTGCAATTGCCAGGAATGCCAATATGGATATATAATACATTTATTTCGTATCGATTTGATCAAACGTTAAGGCTCGTCTAAATGTAAAGTAGTAGATTATATTGGAGTAAGTCTATGATAATATCTACTATATTCCTTTGTACCTGTAATATTAAGGAGTTTGTATAGCCCTGTATTCAATTCTTCTCTATTTAGACGATGTCTAGTAGTCATGGTAATTTCGGCACATTTGTGAAAGAAATTTTGCAATCCTTATAATTAATTATAAATGATACAAGTGTAAAAAGTAGAAACGTGAAAATTTTATCTAAAAATTACAAATTACTTCATATCTGTGTAAAATATGTAGTATGTACACGCTACATTTCTTTTATTATGATAATTTATATACTACTTACATTTATAATTATACATAGAATCTTCGCTGAAATGTATGTACGTACATATACATATAACATTTGAATCGCGAAATATCTTACTATCGACGATTTTACATTTAACTATTCCCTCACTGATAAGAACATTGCGAAGTACGACATACATGCTTTAACAGTCTTGAAACGAAAGAAATTCAATTGTTAGTAGTCATTCATACTTTTCTGTATAAAACAATAAGGTAATAATATTTTTCATATTTTATTATACATACTATCCCGAAACTTTCTATTGTCATTTGATATAGACCTGCTGCTGTTAATACGCACGGTTTATTGGCCCTCAATATCATCAAAACGAGCATCTTTTGAGCCCTGACAGGTATTTCGTACCATCTGGAAAACCATCTGTCGCAAGAAGAATTTAAGTTTCGTTAAATTTTTATAAGAAATTCGCGATTTAGTTTGTGGATGCTTACACTTTATCAGTTACTGCCAAACTTTGCTCCAATAACCGTTGTCCGGGTAAACTTATCATGTACAAATGAAACAGTTGAGCCGCAAGGTATGAAATAAGTCTGATAACATCAGCCGGTCGATCAAAGAATATAACTAGCTAAAAAATCGATATTTACATTTTATTGCCTCTTTCCAATAGTGATTTACCTAAATGATTATTGTTACGTTGTATTTACATAGTCGTATGGCAATGTATTTTACACCTTTAAATCTTGCTGTGTAAAGGTGAGTCATTTGTGTCCAGGCAAAATTCGAATATTGGCTTGTTTGTATTAAACAATTATTTGTAGCAATGTGTGTGTATTTTTTTCTGAAATACATATATCGATTTCACTACAAAATAACAAGTAACACTTTGACGTTTAAATTTTTTCAGTTTTTACTGAAATTCAAATATAGAGAAAACGCATCAGACACAAAACACCCATCTTTATACGATGATGGTTAATATTAGGGCATGTGCGGGTACCCAGAAATGGGGACACTCAAGCCTCTCATTCTGAAAGTTTGACCAGCACATATAGTTCGCGCATCCGTAATTACAGGACTTGGATATCAGCAGGGCCGAACTGAACTCGAAAGCCGTCATTATATTTGCAACATGATTCTTCAAACTGACCTTATATTTTTAAATTTAAAAGTGTTTTCATATGGTATGGTGTATAATCGCGATCACATGCAGTGACGGCTGACGAATTCACTTGTGTGTCTCAAGCAGCGTTGAGATATTTTTTCTCTCGGCCGGAAAGTGGGGACGACGCGACCATGGTGGGGACTGGTACTTGATGGGGGTATGCTAGGCATGTCAGCGAAGGCGCATCAGGAGAATAGTAGTGGGGATCGAAATACGGGCGAAAAACAGGGGAAGCGAGCCGTGAGGGAAAAAATATCTCAACGCTGGTCTCAAGTCGAGTTCAGTTGACATTCGGATACTCGAACAAGTACAGGGTGTCCCAGAAAAAGTGTTAGAGCCGAAAAGGAGTGATTCTGGAGGTATTTCTTAACAACAATTTCCTTTAGTAAAATGCAAAATGAGGCATGATTTTCGAATTATTAACGAAAAACAGTGACCAATGAGAATACGCGTGGGCCCCGCGCCCAGTCATGGATAGGTTGGCTTGGATCGTGGCGCTCGCGCTCTTATTGGTCAGTGTTTTTCGTTAATAATTCAAAAACCGTGCCTCACTTTGCATATCGCCAAAGGAAATAGTTGCTCAGAAACACTTACAGAATCACCTTTCATGGGCTCCAGCATTTTTTCTAAGACACCCTGTATATGTGCTCGACAAACTTTGGGGATCCCGCCCGAACCCGAAGAAGTTTCCGATCTGAGTCTGATCCAAATTTTCAGGTACCCGCACACCCCTAATTAATATGTAGCAATATATATTGTTACAAAAAATAAGTGCAATACCTCAACAGCTGTCACGCTGACGAGCATCATATTTATACCCATTTGAATCAAGTACGAATTGCGGCAACAAACATCGAGGACGTCGTAAAATCTTCAAATGTGATGAACGAGTCATAGGTAAAATTAAATTAAATTATATCAACTGTTATATTTTACTCTTATTAGTAAAAGTACAAACTGAAGAGCTTCGTAATGCACGTTTATGCATCGATTATATTCTTTATATCCGTGATCATCGATGATGCCACCTTTCCTCTCCACTGTATCTTCAGTTGCATTCTGAACAAGGTGCCTAGAAACACGTGTTTCGCATTACGATTCAATTGAATAAATTGAATAAATTGAATATTGCAGCTTCCAAACTATACATCTGTATATTGCGATGACATTATAATATCTTCCTATCCAATGAACAGAATCAAATCATATTTACCCACATGCCGCAAACATTCCGCAAGCATGGTGTATTATAACAATGTATAACGAATCTATGGTGATTATGATTATCACGGTCGCGACAGCAACGAAACTTAAATGCACGAACACCGGCCAAAAGTATTCCATTTCGTCTAGAAACAAGTAATTCACGTGAAACAAGTGTTGCCGTGGCCGTGTTTCATTTAATGGCGCGATGAGATCCACAAGAGGATTATATAAAGAAAGCGAGACAAATAGTGTCACCGTTAGCCACAAACATTCTGGAACGAATTATCCTTCATTAATTTGTTTGGAATTAAGATCGCGAATCGATCACTTACTCCTGTATATAGTCGCAAGTGTAGTTCCTTCGTTGGTAATTTGATCTAACACATTCATTTCTAGACTTGATTTCATTAATTGCCTTCCCCGTATTATATAATTGAATAAATATTTAAACTAAATATGCGTAATATAATGCTTGATAATTACAACAGTTCGTACGTAAAAACACTCTTCTCTCAATAGTATAGGCATACGTTCTGTTTTTGACATGCTCATACTTACACGCATTTTATTTGAGAAGACATTCAATAATTTTACAGTACTAAGAAGTGCTGTAAGTGCTTGCGGTGCGTCCTCGAAGAATCGATCGAAGTCCTTTTTGTACAAGGTTTCCCACATTCTTATGTACTGTTGAATTATGTTGTATCAGAAGTATGTTGTTTCTGAGATGTTTGTTCACTCAGTGTTGTTCAAGTTGTGCTCAGTAATTGATAGTAGCTATTAAATGAAATTAAAACATACGTATTTTGTTCGTCATACCATTGGACCGAAACCGCTCATGATAAATATCACTAGTGGGATTACTCGTGCCAGACTGACTTTATTATTTTGAAACGGATTCACTCCAATAAGTGTCATGTATTTACCAAGCGTTTTGTAAAAGGGTAATTCGAAGGCACTGGCATTCGTATTTTCCTGAAAAACTGAACACATACAGTTTAATTGTGAAGAAACACGTATATGTCTAGCACATTATAGAATAGTACGAATTAAAAATAACGTTATTTTGTTCAAATTATTCTTTGGAAGATCGCGATGGATATTAATTTTCGAAAAGCTACGTTCAATGCACACTTCTGTATTAATTATTATTCCTTACGATTCTTATTTCTAGTATTTGTTGTGAGCAGTGTCATCGTAAATGGTGCATGCGGGTAGCCAAGTATCAACCGATTGTAACAAAACGCAGAAAAGGAGTCTCGTCTTTAGAATTTAACAGGTATCACTGACAATTGTATAAGAATTAAAAAACAATAACATTAAACTCCCTAACCCACCGACAACGAAGGCTAGTATAATTATAAAGTATGTGCCTGTAAGCTCACTGTCATGTTATGACCGACGTATTTTAGTGTGACTGCTACGTTGTCATGCATGTGACAGTAGCAGCTGCATTGTAGCGACGGAAATGTAATTTCGGAAACTTATCATCAATTACAAGGAAAATTTCTACGTGTAACTTGCAATACTTATTATCTTGAAGCCAACGCTCATTCAAATAACTGATTATACAGGAAAGTATTCCAAGAAAATATTGATTGAAGTTAAGCAAAGAACTACCTACGTATGTTGTCGTTACTTGCGTTCGGAAAAGCGTTAAATAACAATATGTATTATCTACAGCAGGGCTTCTTAAACTATGGGTCGCGACCCCAAATGGGGTCGCGTAGCAAAATTTTGACGACTGTAATGGTAACTCGCAATCATAAATGGGGTCGTGAATGACAAAAGTTTAAGAAGCCCTGATCTACAGTATGTACTTTTCGGTTCAGACTCATTCGCTCAAGAAAAGTCAGCGTAAAAACATTATACGAAATTACTACAGTACTGCAGAACAAAAATAAGTTAAACTCAAGTAAGTTTGTGATTAGATCATCATCTTGTAAATTCTAATACTCTTTTAACTGAAAGATGAATCGAAAAAGCGAAAGAAAGATTTTTAACTCTTTATACAATATATGATCAGTCATTTATTTAACATATGAATTCTCGAACTTCTACATATTATATCATACATGTAATATTGCGTGTAAATGAGTGAAGTGATCAATAAAATTATAGAAGAAACAGAATCTTTAAAATTATTACTGATATTAATAACATTGCATAAAAATAGTAAACTTTAAATTAATGGATTATTAGAGATTATTATATTGTATATATTATTTTATTAAATTATTAGAGATTAATTTAGCGAATTGCCAGCTCCTACCTTGATTTTCTATAAGTATTAATATTAAATCAAGACCAACAATTTTGTGTTTATTCCAGGCACGACAAATTATTTTGAATTGTCTGCTGTATCTTAGCTTTCGCTATCTATCGATGCATGAAAAAAAATCGTACTTAAATTGGCTTGTATAGATGTGCTCCGA